TTGTCGATTAATTTTTTTGGGAATCATCATTTTAGCTTACGTATTATGCAAGGTATGCAATCTTTGCCTGAGTTGCGATTGAATCTTATACCGCGGTCCGCGGTTAACTTTCATAGCAATGACGACGCGAAGTTTAGATTCAAGACATGATTATTATTGTTGATCTAAAATTTTTTATTACGTAGTAACGATAAAGGTTAAATTATTAAATAATAGTATTAAAACTCTTTGGGTGCTGCACTGCAAATAAGGGAATTCTTCGTGAATTTGACAGTTTTGAACGATTAAGGTAATAGCACCGCTCCAACCGCGAATCTATTAACTTGACAATTAAATTCAAACTATCATATGATCAGTCCTATATTTCATGGTGTCAAGTCAAATACAAGAAGTCAAAGGCGGCAGTGAGCGCACGGACCACGGGCCATTAATGGAATTTCCAAAGTAGAAAATATCGTACCGCAGCCGTAGCCGTGCTGTTGCGTTACTTTTATACGACAAAGTAAGTAACCTTTCTACGTCATTTCGTACCACAAGTACCCAGTGTTAAATAACTTATTAGCACCGTAACAAGCCGTTCTAATCAAACCTTGTAACAATGAATCCAAAGTACAAGAGTATTTCCTATAGTATCTTACTCCATTGGTTTCACTACACTATTTCATTAAAACTATGAATATTCCACACATCAACGCACCAATTACACGATCATATTAATTGGTTTAAACGGATTATTAAACTGAATTATTAAATCATAATGTGATTCTATTAGTTTGCTACATTTTAATTAGGTACATAAATAATTTATTGTATTGCATAGAATCTACGAACGGTGTTCAAATAAGATAATTGACAAGGTCTAAAAATTATTTTATCTGTCAATTACTGCACGGTTGGTGCGGTGGCTGGGCAACCGGCTGCCGTGCAACGTGTCGCGGGTTCGATTCCCGCACGGGACAACACTTTGTGTGATCCACAAATTGTTGTTTCGGGTCTGGGTGTCATTGTGTATGTGAACTTGTATGTTTGTAAACGCACCCACGACACAGGAGAAAATCCTAGTGTGGGGCAACGTTTTTTAAAAAAAAAAAAAAAAAAAAAAAAAATTAGATAGGTAATTAAAAAATATTAGACACGTATTTTTTATTTTGTTATAATTATAACGTCCCAATATTTAGATAAAGAACGTACCTATATTTAATTTTAGGAGTGAAGGTTAGTATGTCACCGCTCCCAATTTTAAAACAATACACAGTAGAACGTTGATTATCTGGTCCTTACTGATACAAATTCATATTTAAATATTTAGAATTCGGATTTACGCAAGCATGAATGTGTATGACTTTTCTATTCTCTCGGTCGATCATCCCTTAAATGCCTTTTAGTTCGTAGCAGTGGCATAATACTTTCCGCACCGTTTGATCGCTGCTCCATACGCTTCTTTATCATTTTGTGACTGGTACTAGCTACTTCCGCGCAGTTTCACACGCTCTGCTCAAATCCTATTGGTCGTAGCGTAATGTTTTTTAGCCTATAGCCATCCTCGATAAATGCGTTATCCAACATAAAAAGAATTATTCAAATCAGCCTTGTAGTTACGGAGATTAGAGCGATCAAAAAAACAAACTATTCCGCTTTATATAATAGTACTAGCGACCCGCCCCGGCTTCGCACGGGTGCAATATGCATGTATTATACATACAAACCTTCCTTAAGAATCACTCTATCTATTAAAAAAAACCGCATCAAAATCCGTTGCGTAGTTTTAAAGATCTAAGCATACATACGGACATACAGCGAAAGCGACTTTGTTTTATACTATGTATTGATAAGATTAAATAAATAGACGATTTCAATTGACGATTCACAATTCAATATCTTTGGATTAAGGTCAATTTTTGACATTAAGTAGTTGTATGAAGTTCTTGAAAACAGAGTCTCGTCTTAGAAGAAAAACCGAGTTCAATTTAATTTTAAACGGAGGTTAAATAGGTTATTTATTTCAGCCGTTAATTAGTTAGCTACCTAGCTGCGTCGTGTGTCGTGACTACACATTTAAAAAGTAGTACAGTAGTAAAAATCATACTGATATATTATGACTCTGTGGACAAAGGAACTTAATAAAATGTTTTTTTAATAAACAATAGTTTGCGTTGATTTTCAATTATCCGAATTCCTTCTGACAACCATTAACCCGGTTAACCAAGTTTCTACTGTATCGACGATAGTATTGAACGAATATGAATGTTTTAAATTAATCTACCAGTCGGACAGAAAAATAAAATTTAACAAACTACCCCATTGATATATTAATGGTATTACGTTAAAAATGTACAAAAAAACAAAACACTAAACCTGAAAAAGAAAGGTTAAATAAACAATGAAGTATATTATCATCATTTGTTTAATAACAACCTTAATTTCACGAATAGTAAGGTGCATATTGAATATAACACCAACTTTTCAATAGTGCTTTCATGAGAAGCAGGTAAAGGGTGAGCCTATTGCCATACATTAGTCACGATTACAAAATATAATTACTTAGGTATGTCACTAACGTTTATCCTTTATAGGAAAGACCACAAAACATCTCCTTTATTTATATGTTCTGTGGGAAACACGTTGCTTAGTATAATTTGACCTAAGTGCGACCATTGAGCACGTTCGAATGTCTCAGCTTACAACGAAATATTTGAAATCAAGTTCTTTGTATTGGTATATTTTACAATTAATTAAACGTACAGTGATAGTGAAAATCTAGCGTGTACTTCTCAGGTAAGGTAGAATTATAATTATAGATAAATAACATAACATAACATCACGCCTTTTATCCCCGAAGGGGTAGGCAGAGGTGCACATTATGCCACTGTACAATGTAACACCCACTTTTCACTATTTATGTTATGAGTCCCACGTAATAGGGGGTGAGTCCCACGTAATAAGGGGTGAGATATTATAGATAAATATAGATGGATATTCGTTTTTAAAATCTTTAGTTTGTTTTAATAATTTTGTAAATAAAAGCATAATATTAACAACGATTATACCTCTATTCAATGTACAGCTAGAATACGCAATAATTTGCGTAGTTGTATTATTTGTTACATTAACGACAAGGAGATTGGCTTTGGTATCACACCGGTGCTATTTTAATTCTTCTCTCAATTTTGTCATATTTTAAATACTTCTGTTTTAACAGAAATACTTTACGAATATTTGTATTTTTTATAACTTTATCACCTAGTCGTGGTCTTCCTCGAAAAGTTACATGAGTAAGTCGAAAAAAAATTGTTTATTATCACAAAAATTTTACAATATTACATTCACAGAAATGTGGCGATTACATGGAGGAGTGTGAATTACGAACGATACCGATACTGCTTTCCAAACTAAGCTATAAGCTTCTATTTTGGAAAATAGTAATTCAGGCGTGGAATATGTCACAAAGTCTCATTATATGTCGTTCAATAATGAAGTTGAAGTCGCTGCTGCATAGGGAACTGTGATCAAAAACAAAAGTATTTAAATGAGAATGGAAAATTAAGACGACTAGAATATTTTTTTCTTTTGTGTAGTGTGCCTGCGTTTTACGAAGTATATGGTGATTGTGTGTGTGTGTGTGTTTTTTATTGCATAAGCCGGTAAACAGGCAGACAGATCACCTGATGGTAAGCAATCGGCGTCGCCCATGGATACCTAGAACACCAGAGGCGTTAGAAGTGCGTTACCACCCTTTTGGGGATTAGGAGTTTGAGGATCGTTGGGGATTCAGGATTGGGGAGATTGGGGAAGGGGAGGATTGGGCCTCCGGTAACCTCACTAACACGACGAAACACAACGCACGCGTTGCTTCACGTCGGTTTTCTGTGAGGCCGTAGTATCACTCCGTTCGAGCCATCCCAATCATGCCTAAGCATGGCTCTCCCACACTTAATATGTGTGGGAAAAATTGTGAAAAGTTAATCTTCAGAGAATGGGTAGGAACTATAATAATTAATTAAGTATCAAAATTATTTGGAAGTCATGTCTGGAACTACATAGAGTAGTTCGCACTTAGCTACACAATGTCATCCGACCGTGGTCTAAGTAAAGTGGACTACAAGCTTAATTAACAAGCCATTATAATAATTAAACTTTAATTAACTGTCCTCGGAATTGACCGATTGTTGTACGAATCCGTTTGTTGACGGTATAAGTAGAATAACTAAATTTGTAACCATCTTTCCCCGCGGGTATTGTAATACATCTCTGAAACACTATATACAGAGAAAAATACTTGACTAATAATAGATATTTTTACTAAGTCGGATTTGCATGGGTGCAGTTCCCTGATTAATTTATATTTTTCGCTCATACAAATTTTGTTCTTAATTTGTATGAACGAAAAATATAAAACAGCTCTAGATCTATTAATTAAAACCCAGTCGATTTCGTTGCTTTAACATATTTTTTTGTTTTGTTGTTTTTTTGAAACTATATTGACGACGTTGTTTTATAACAGTTTTACAACACAATGAGGTGCATTAAATTTAAAATTGTAGATGAAATAAGATGGTTTATATTTTGCACGGAATAACTATTAATGCGGTAGAAACCGCATGAATAGAGCTTTTAAAAAAGAGTTATTGTTTCCCTACATTCTTACTTTAAAATATATATTTACATAAATATAATAGAAGAACTTAAATAACAAAAAAAGAAAATAAATAAATATGTACACTTTAAAATAGTGCATACATATTGTTTTATGAATATAGCACTCAATGGGTAGCGACTTGAGGAGACCACCATCCATACGTCGGACAAATGGAGTTACAAATGCGTCAAGAATGAAAACTCTTTTTTGAAGATTTGATGGAAACCAAACTTCACCTACCTAAGTTTTACCCAAAGAACAATAAATTGGTACCCATAACTGTGAAATATTTGAAGTTTACGTAACAATGATAATATAAAATCGCCAATGCAGTTATAATACTGATATATTCAACAATAATTACCATTTAATTAAAGTATTAACTGTTACACTCCCATTGTTTAAAATCTGGCGATGTTCCTCCAGCCAAAAACTGAAATCAGTTTCAGGTTTCTTAAACATTTTTAACGAAGTTTCGTATATTTGTTATCTACTAAACTTATAAAATATTATAGTTAACAAAAGCAAAAAGAAATTTAATTTATTATTTAAATTTATACGTTTTTCACGAATGTCGAAGTATTTCGGAAAAATATAAGTGCTTTTCAGTAATAAATTTTCATACATTTTCAATTCTGCTTTTAACACCTTTGAGACTATCGAGACTATTGCATATTGTGCAGGCTGTGTTAAACAATGGTTTTCCTAAATAAACTGTTTTGATTAAATGGTGAATTTTAGTAAAGGGTAAATTTTTATTTGATTGTTCCAAAGTATTTTTATCTAATTGACCACCATTGAAATGAAACATTCTAGAAGGAAAATATTTAATTTCATATTATGCATGTGTTCCACGTAAGTTTAATAATTGTACATAATAAAAACTTTATTAAAAAAAGTCAAACATAAAAGTAAATTCCGATTGTCAGTTATGATATTAATAAAAAAAACCCTGATTTACTTCACCATAGGTAAAAATAATTAAATAAGTAAATTTTTATAATTCCTTAAACTGAATTGTGACTACAAACATTATTTACGATTTAAAATACAAGTACCGAAACCTACAAAAAATCTATTTGTATTATATTATTATTTTATCAAAATTATAATTCTTTCACTGTTTAAATTATTTTTTAATTTTAAAATTAGTTGAATAAAAGATAGATCTGACTTAAATCCAGTAATAACTTAATAATTTAACGTCAACTTAAAAAAAAAACATATTTATTGAAACACCCAAATTATTTTACAAAACTATTTAAAGTAAAGACTTACCTAGTCCGTGCGACGTGTGCTGCGTGCGTAAAAAGCGAGATTATGCGACCGCGGTATTTGCTGCAGACGTGCAGAGCGCGTGACGGCGTTGGAGCGACTGCGGTGCGGTGCCTGACGGGCGCTGGGCGGGCGTCAGCAATGACACGCCCCACACCCAGAAATAATAAGAAAACTCCACTTTTCATCTAGAAACTTCCAAGAATTTTAAAATAAAATTCGCCTAAGTTTCAATGATATCGTCAATAACTTTTGCCAACTTATCAACCATTCTTACCTACATAGAAGTAGGTCGACTATATTCATAAAATCACCAGGTTTTCTCGTATGCTTTTCTACACCACGAATTACTTAAAAGAATATCGTAATTGTAACTTACCTGTCACAGTAACTTACTAATCAAAATTCGTGATATTAGAATTTTCTTAAAAAAAAAACACACACAATAAGGAGTTCAAAAGAATACTAAGGAAATACAACTCCACAAAATTAATAATCAGCAACAATTTTATGTAATGACAATGAAAAAAAACATTAATTCAGTAAAAATTCAAATGAAAAGAGTGTGACAGAAAACTGTTAGAGAAGAGTGAACTGGGCGGAGCGTGCGACCACTCCCAGCCGCTGAAAATCAGGATTACACGCGAAAACAAATTGATCCAAAGAGGATTTACTTTTTTTACTTTTTTTCACATCTCGCTGCGCAAACCGCTATGGCTGTACTTAAAACGAAATGAGAGGGCAACATAAAACTTGTAAAAAGTTAAACACGGTAGTCATTTTACACGTACTTGTACACACACGATTTTTATTCACAATACAATATTATACTTTACACATATCTCTTTCTCTTTATTCCAGTCTTACTTTCATAATTTAATGTTTGACAAAATTGCTTCAGTGCCCAGTCTTAGTAAATGAATTTTATGCATGCACATATGTAATTGGATTCCGCAATGGCGCTTTGACTGAAAAAAGTTCTCAACATCGAGTTTAGAATTGTACTCAGTCTTTGGTAAAGGTTTACCTCTATTATTCTATGGAAATAATTATCTTACTGCAGTTTTACAGCTCTACTTACCCACTAAACTATTGTTCATAATGTTAACCGGAGTAATTATTGTTACATTTTAACAATGATCCCTCAGCTGGTATTGGATTGACCTTATTGCGTTGAGCTTGATGTATAATAGTATAGGCTCTTACCTGTTAGTTAGTAAATTAATATCCTAATCAATTCTAGATATGATTGAAACTGAGAGAAGTGACCTCGTTGCAAAAAGGAAGTCGGTATTAAAATATCTCTATTTTCGTAGCAAATTGCTACGACGAAAATATTGAACACAACTTTTATGCTTTAGGTTTATAGATAGAGAATCTATTACTAATTAATTTGGTATTATTAACGTTATAATAATTAGAGGCTGAAAGCTCTAATTTAATGATTTTAATCGGTAGATAGGTTTAAGTGGGTACTTATTATGATTATGACTGAATGCGTTCAGAAGAGTATTTCACCTACATCTACCAACGTTATGTATTTCACAAGTATTTGGAGATATATTAGAACTATTATGAGAACTGATGTTTGTTACTCTGACCTATCCCAAGACCTTCTGAACAAATTGGATCGAATGCTCAATAACTGTATCCGTTTTATCTTCGGTCTTCGTAAATACGACCACATTTCTTCTTTTCGCGATCAGCTAAAATGGCTTCCTATCCGTGAGAGAAGATCTCTTAGATCTCTCTGCATGCTTTTCTCTATTCTGAATGATCCTTGTGCTCCTGAATACCTAAAGTCTTGCTTCCAGGTACTGGGCAGTTCTCACAGCCGAAATCTCCGTTCTGCTGAAAATCTGCTTCTTGAGATTCCGTCCCACCGAACATCCTTCATTTCTAACTCTTTCACAGTTAGTGTAATTAAGTTATGGAACGCATTACCGCTTAAAATAAAAAAGGCTCCAAATAAGATCACTTTCAAACGCGATGTTCACGAATTCTTTTTAAAGTCACTACAACGCTGAGTCTAGGTCTATTCCTATTATATATGTATTATTATAGAATTTATTTATTTAGTATATTTATGTATATACGAGCACACATATATGTTATATATACCTATATATTTATGTTGTATTTATATTGTAGTATAAATTTTAAATATTTTTAGTACCTTTCTATATTTATAAAGTCTATTTATGTTATTTGTTTCTAATAATTACACATGCCTATTTTTTCGCAGATTTCCATTTTAACCCTAAGGTTGACTGGGAGAGAATGCCATATGGCATTAATGTCCGCCTTATGTACCATTACTTGTTTGTGTGTACATTAAAGTTAAAAAAAAAAAAAAAAAAAAAAAAAGAACTGCCCTTACTACTTGCGCTTTCCTAAATAACAATGTCTGTTAACAGATCACGGAGTCAGGTGCTACGCCGCCGCTACGACATTGCTACGCGAACACGCATTACTTCAAAATCAAAGTTTTACAGATAATTTAGTAATTAAATCTTTATCAGATCTGTTATTATTTTTATAGCACAAGTTCATGATATTTAAGTATATCATAAATGTTAATTGAAAGAAATTAAGATTATAAAACTTAAAAAAAAAATATGTCTAAAAATCAAACAGACAAATGCATATTACAACTTTGTTTCAACATTCTTAGCTTGCAAGTAGACTATTTTAATAACTAAGAAAGAAGAATTTTTAATAACATTTTATCAATTGGAGCTTCACTTTGTTCACGTGATCGTCGTCGTTGTGATGAAGATGTCAACAGCCTTGGACACTACGGCTTGTCGTGTAGCCTTGTTCGAAAAGCAAGTATTAATGACATAATTCGTCGAGCTCTTGTCTCCGTTGGCATGACAGCTACTTTAGAACCTAATGGCTTGGTACGCGACGATGGCAAGAGACCCGTCAGTATGTCATTATTTCCTTGGAAGCTAGGTAGGCCTTCAGTAAGGGACGCCTCTTGCGTTGATACTCTGGCGTCAACCCATCTTCCAAGCTCAGCGTGTCGAGCTGATGCTGCCACTGCTGCTGCCGAGAACCTCAAACGGTGAAAGTATAATAGCCTGATTGGCAATTATACTTTCAAACCGTTTAGGGTTGAAACTTTAGGGACCTGGGGCCCAAGTGCTCATCTTTTTTATAAAGATATTGTAAAGAGGACGGTTGACACTTCAAGTGATTGAAGGGTTGCTACCACCTTGGACAAAGGTTAAGCATTGCCATTCAACGTGGCGATGCTGCCAGTCTTTTGAGCGCCCTGCCTCACGATAGCGATTAGAATAAATTTTTGATGCCGTAAGCCTAAGGTAACATTTCTATTATTTTATATAATTTAGTTATTTGTATTTTAAGTTGTACATATTTATTCATATTTACTAAGAAAGAAATACATTTTATTTATGAACAGTTTTTACGAGCTATTTCTAATACATTACTAGTGAACTTAAGTTGCAAAGCCATGTAAAATACTGACACAGCGAAGACCAATACATTAATAAAAAGTAGTCATACATATATATATCAAAAATAATTCCTATTATTATCAACATTACAAACATTTTTAATTAAATACTTTACTACTCTTGTAAAGAAAACCAGTCTAATATAAAACATCATTGCCAAGAATGTCATCAACATTCTAACTAGCTGGTTGAACAACAATAATTTTTATAAAACCGCAGTAATTTATGACACCACTAGCTTAAGAGCAGGCAATAAAAATGAGAAATTATTTTTAATAATATTGCCGGTGAGCGCCCCCTACCAGTGACGTGGCACAATATTTTGGCGAGCCTAATACCGCCCCTTATTACGGCATTCTTTACTCGCTACTACCTAATAATAGTGGCGAGACTTACTTTACGAGTTTTGCGAATCTTTATGTCAGATTAAACTGTCTGACCTTTCATAAAGGCCCTCTGCGTAATATGTAATTAATAATTATGTCAAGTAATTGTTTTTAAAATAAGTAGCTTTTTAAATGCTGCAAGTCTTATTATTATGGTGTGTCCACCTATCCCGGAGTATCAAGTGGCTACCATGACATGTATCGGTATATTTTTAAACAATAAAATCATAAACTAGTATACTTATAGGTGCACATCACTAATAACTCGGACACTAATGAAAGGGTGTTATTATCACAACGATTGGATACACCCTACCATTGCACTGGCGACTCGTTTTAATGTACATATGTGCAGTGTTCACTGGGAAGCTCAATAAGCCGCAAGGAACATGCGGTAATGTTAATTGAGATCAAGATCATGTAAGGACCCGGTAATGGTACATAGTGGTCATACACATCCTGTGGCAATGACGTTACATTTGTGGTCTAATCACTACTCCAGCCAAGACATCGTAGTTACCGCAATTGCACACGGCGGTTACCCTCGATAAGCATCGATGGCTCCTTATTAAATATGCTTGTAAAATACACAAACAAAACATTGACATAATAAATAAAAACATGGCAACTTTCACCGTTAATCGTGTATGTAACATGATGATATAGTAGGGGTGTCAGCATACGAGGTAATTTCTGTATAAGAGACATATTTTCCAGAGGGAGGACAATCCGGGCTCGCTGTGACGAGGCTTGGAATGCAACACGATTATGAAACGCCATTTGTCAAGTTTTTATTGGGCACCCTTGAGTCGCGTCTATTGTGGTGAACCCGACGTACCCTCTCCGCGCCGGACCCTCGTCCTCGATGTTAATTCATAATTTTTATAACTTGTTAACATTTTGCAAATTATAAGGGCACCACTGCAAACTGAGATTATGCTTTAATTAAATTTCATATCATTTTTTATTACTGTAGAGCACTTATTACAAGTTAACGCGTTTCTATTAATTAAACTGTCAAACACCAAGCGGTCACCGGTGACCGCAATCTATTGTTCTATAATTGTGTCTGCAAAACCGGTACTCGACGAGTTAATAGTAGGTACCTATAAGTAAATATAAATTGTACAGTATTCATTTACGTTAAACATAATTAGTTATTTTGATACCTTTGAAATTATTACATTGCATTGTAATAAGCATAGAAATACT